GGACCGAGAGAAACGCACAACTGATTTTTAAGACGGTAAAAACCACAAAATGTTAAAAAAGAAAATTTCTAGAATCAAAAAAGTAACCACTCGACAGTATCTCCGCCTCCTAGTCACCGCTTACTAGTACCACCGATAAATAAGCCCCCTTATCCTAAATTTCTAGCTCCGCCCCTGAGTGTTGTAGCATTTTTTGGTGTATTTTGGGGCAGATCGCCCAAAAGTTCGTCCCCAAATTTGGTGCATATCATAAGCTTTTTCATTGCATATCATCATGAAGTTTCTTCATTGGTTCTACCATAAGTACTTGTGGGCTCTTGTTTGCATTAGAATCCTCTTCATTGAAGGTAAAGGGTTTGAATCTTAAGTGACATGACGCAAGAGATTTTCAATTCTCATTGTTCCAATTGTGTTTAAAGTTTTTTGAATTTAGTAGTCCCATAATATCAATTCATAGCATAGAAATCTTAATCCAAATTTGTAACACATATTAACATAACAACTTATATGCATGGATTCCTACATTTAATAAACATATAATTGTCACTAAAAGTGATCATAACATTGTCACTCTTGCCTACTCACTCACATTTTAAATATAGGTGTGTCAAGTTACTAACCAATTCGTTTAATCTATTACTTTAATACCAAGTTGTAACAACCATCTCTTAGCATCGAGAATTAACATAATAAGATGACACTAGTTGTTCTAGTGTCAAGTCCAACGAGAATCAGCATAATAAGATGACAATACCGCATAAATATGTTGCAAAAATGGATTTTGGGAAATAGGTTAATTAACCTGCATTAAGTGCAATTCCTTTCATTTATTCCAATACAAAATCTAAAGTGCATAAAATTAATTTAAAAGAACATTTTCTTTGATCGGTTAGTATTTAGAAGCAATGTTTGATCTTTACATGATTCAACTTGGAAAATGTTTATCAATTTATCTTATATGTTTAACCTGAATAAATTCATACCAATAAAAATTAACATAAGTAACAGCAACATACATTTATCCAAACTAAACTCACAACATAAATTGTAATTTCATTGCGAGGTGGCGCCTTATCCCTTAACTTTAAGGTTTGCTTGTCTTTTAAAGGAAGGTAGTACCACTACTTTAAAGACTTAAACAATACATCAACCACTTATTATAACTTATAAACCTTCTATAAATACATTTTTAAAATCCAAAAACCTATTCAACAAAACAGAAATGAAGCCAACAAGACCCTTTGTTCTTTTCTCAGTTTTCCTTATCTTGTCTGGTAATTTTCCCTTATATTTTATGTAATATGTTAATATCTTTTTTTATTTATAATTTATAAGTATACAATATGATTATAAAAACTATTTTGTTCAACCAATATCCTAATTTTTATAAATCTATAAATAACAAATGTACTCGACAGATAAAAACTTCAAAATTTTCCTCTAAAAAAGTTATAAATTCATTTTTATTTTTTTAAAAATAAATAAATGAAATAAATTAATAAACCCTTTATTTTACAGGGAAAGAGGCGGTAGCCTGCAATTTCTACATCAGCAACAAATGCCCATATCCAATATGGCCGGCAACCGCCGCAAACGACGGCCATCCGGTGTTAGCATACGGCGGCTTCTACCTTCCACCAGGAGAGCAACGCAAAATCCAAGCTCCGGCCGATTGGGTAGGCCGGATCTGGGCTAGAACAGGGTGTAAATTTGGTTCAAATAACGCTCCCACCTGTGAAACCGGCGATTGCGGAGGAAAATTACACTGCAACGGGCTAATTGGGTCTCCACCGGTGACACTGGTTCAATTCGCGTTACAAGCCGACAAAAGTAAACCAAGTTTTTACGATGTGAGTTTAGTCGACGGTTACAATATCCCGGTCTCCGTGACGACGATACCTTCGTCACCGAAATGTCGAATCGGAGGGTGTAAGAAGGATTTGAATGATGTTTGCCCGGAAGAACTTGAGGTTTTGAATGAAAAGGGTGAAGTTGTTGCTTGCAAAAGTGCTTGTTTGGCTTTTGATGATGATAAGTTTTGTTGTCGGAATGAGTATGGAACGCCGAATCGATGCAAGCCGAGTGTGTACTCGAGGATCTTCAAGGAGGTGTGTCCGTCGTATTATAGTTATGCGTTTGATACTCCGGCGCCGTTGGTTAATTGTGTTTCCGATGATTATTTGATAACGTTTTGTCCGGCGACAAAATGGGTTGCAGAGGAGATTGATTCTGTGTAAAATTGTTATTGAGTATTTATTTAGTGACATGTAATTGGTTTTTATTAAAATAAAAGGATATTAATTAAATTAAAACAAATAAAAAATCAGTTTTTGAAAAATAATGGTGTTATTTTATATAAACATATTTTGGATTTGTTCTTAAAACTTAAGAGTTTCTTTTTTAGATTGCTTTTACAAAAAATTTTAAAAAAAAAAACAGCTACTATATTAAATTTCATTTTAAGCGTTTGATATCATTGTTTTTCAATGAAATTAAATTTTATGTGATATTATTATTTTTCAGTTAAATATTTGATTTAAAATCCTTATGTTATATATACTTTCATTTTGCTACATTTCTTACACAAAAATAAAGTATTTCTTGAAATTCACCGAATTGTTTATTTGGATTTTAGACTTGTTTATTAAATTTCAGAGTTTTTTTTTCGAAATCTAGAACTTTTGTCTAGAATCCAAAATATTAGTCCGCAATGTATTTTTTTTTTGACAAAATAGGAATTTTTGGTCGATTCTATTCCGGACTTGTTTGTAATTTTTCAAAAATAAAATTATGTTATTTTTCTTTAATATTTATTTATATATGGTTAGTTTTGTTAATATATGTTGATTTAAATAACCAAAATTAGATGTAAATTTAAAGGAAATAAATTATTTTTTTTGTTTTTGCAAAATGACAACTATTCAGGAATAAGGTATTTCCTACACGATTTTGCCTGTGTTCCCCGATAACCCGATTGTTATTGTGGTCCCCCATGTATATAACATTTCATACATTTTGTGCCAGATTTACATTTTGGATTCTAGAAAACCTTCATTTGGTATATTTGAGACATTTCATAGTATTGACTTTTATAAAGAAAAAAATGTATTTATATGGTAAATAGCTGACAATCTTATGGGTAAGTTATTTTAAACATATTATTGTTAAAGATGTAGTCTAGAATACGAATATTTTATCCAAAACATGTAGAATATGTCTGCAATGTAATGCATTTTTTAATAAAAAAAATATGTTAAAGTAGTAGTTGTTATTTTAAGTCTTTTATTGTAACATTATGTTTTCACTTAATGACCTGTTTGTTTCTTTTATTTATTTATTTGCATATTAAAAGGCACTCAATTATCTAAAATAACAATAATATTAAAATTAAATAAGTAAACGTACAAAAATAACTATAAAATGTCAAAATTAAATTAGAGGGGCTAAACTAAGATTTTCACGTAACCTAAAGACAAAATTGTACAAATGGTCCATGTGGTTTGCTTAAAATTGTCACTTTGTTCCAAAAAGGTTTGGACTAGCACCAGAGGTCCAAAGTTTTCATTTTGTTGCTTGTTTGGTCCAATCTGTTTTGATTTTTTTTCAAAATGACGGATTTGCCCCTGTTAATATGATTTTCTTTTTTTCTTATTTGTTTTTCTGATTTTATATTTAAAAAAATAAAAAATAAAAATAAAATAAAAATAAATCAGTCTCTCTCTTATTTGTTTTTATTTTTCTGATTTTAGATTAAAAAAACAAAAAATAAAAATAAAATCTCTCTCTCTCTCTCTCTCTCTCTCTCTCTCGTACATCTTCTCATCCAACATCATCCATCTTCAACCTTCAACAAACCTCATCACCAAATCACCTTTAATCTCATTCCACCTCACCATAACTTCAACGCCTCCACCATAAATTTCCAGTTGCCAAGAGCCGCTTCGATTCCACACTCACCTATCAACGTCGATTACCTCGAAACAGAATTTAGCGGCCATTGCACTTCCTTCACAAACCTCGGAGAAAGTTCACGATAAGCAAAATGAAGGGATTTCATGGTCTCCCACTATCTGGAATCTTTGCAATGTTGGAGGAAGTCCAGACAATTCAGGTGAATACTCAATTCACGATATCTATTTTTCGTTCCTCTGTATGAATGAATTGAAATTGCCCTAATGTTCTTAGGCAGAACTGATAAGTAGCAATATAGAAGACAAAATTGAAATCAAACAAATTATAACTTTGAAAGAAGATGATATAAGCTTAGAGATTGTGATCACGAATTTCAGATCTTCATCACTCCAACTAACGGGATCGATTATCGGTCACTTAGTTATGAGCACACTGGAAGCATCATACGCCATCCGGCTCGAGAGAGCAAATTACTTCGTTAAGCCACAAATTTTCTCAAAATCCAGCATTATTCCTCCTGATATCCACAAGAATGATTCGCGTCAATTAGGGTTGAAGCGACTGCTATCGGATTAGGGACTCAAGCCCGAATCAGGACTTGAAAGATGAAACATCAAAAAAATGGGGAAGAAGATTAAGAGATTGAAGGTGAAGAGGATGATAACTACAAGAATTTAATTGAGAAACTAAGCTTGATCTCTCGTTCAATGATTTAAGTTGTGAAATTCCCGATGAAATTTGGGGTATAAAGAAGATGGAAGCGATTAATCTCGAAGGGAGCATGCTCGATTGGAATTTAAACTCCAATTTCAGTGATTTGGAAAACTTTAGGGTTCTTCAACGATTTCCAGCGACGGGTGTGTTGGGTTTTGAGCATTCTAACACTTCCTAAGTGTACATGCAACCCTATTAAACCTTGGATCTATG